ATCGACCCGATTAAAGGGAAAAGTGAGGGCCCGAGCGTGGAAGGAGCTAGGATTGATTTTTTTAAAATCACTTAAATTTTGTGGCAGGTATTTTACCATTTTTATGAACACTACACACAGAGAATGAAGTACCAGAGGTTTTCCATACAGGAACACTCCTCCATGTCGGGACACACGGAGCCATTGCTTACCGGCAGCTCTGTTACAGTGTGAGACGCAGTCTGCTGTTACAACTGCCTTGGAATACATTCAGCTTTGAAGTCCCTGTTCCTGGACCCGATACTGATCAATGAAGTCATTAACAACCAAAGAGCAGTAAGAGGGAACAGAATCTAGGCAAAGACTGCCTCTTCCTGCACACATGCACTTAATTCCACCTCCTAATAAAAACTTAACAATGACCAGCCAACTCAATTTCCTTTCGGCTTTTGTTAAGCTGTGCTTGGCTTCAAGTTAAGGCGAAGTCTGAGCAGACGCATGTTAGATTCTTGGATATGGTTAAGGTTGATATTAAGGTCAGAGGTGCAGTCTGGCTGAATTGTTAGGTTATGACAAGTTATCTTAACCGGTGAACAGACCAAGGTGGACATTAGGTTGAAGATTTTGTTATGGGTATTAAGGTTAGGCTACAGCAGGGGTCAGGACCTACGATGTGTGCCATTATTGGCATGCAAAGGGATTTTTAACAGCATGTGCAAAGAAAGTCTAATAAGCCAAGAATTCTGGAATTCTCTACAACATGCTACCCAACGAAAGCTCTCTGGCTTAGGAAAAAAAAAAGGTATTCGCTTGGTTTATTTACCGCAGTACTCTATTTCTAGCAGGGCGAGCCTCTTGTTTTCACAGGCAAGCTTGCAATCTGTGCCATTGATAATAATATTTCAAAAGGGGAACTGCGATGCTACTGATGCATTTCAAACCACAAAAAAAGTCAAAATGTACAAGTTGCTGTGTAAACTGGAGGTTTTACATCACAAAATTGATTTAAGTTTCCAGGTATGCACGGGGCCGTGTTCTGCAATTCAGAACGAGGCAACAAAACGTCCTGTGATGGGATGCAGCCCTCTTGCATTGTACATGAACAGGCTTGTGAATGCATTTCTTTTTATCCACTAGCAGTATTGCTCTCGATTTTGAGATAGTTTTGCTGACAAATACTATGTTAACTCTGCCTGCAGATCACGTTGGAACATTTCTGTGGCGAAATGTCTGCTGCACAACCTGTAATTATTCACTTGTACATCAGTCATTACAGTGACTAGTGAGCAGGAAGGGCTGCTTCACATCGCATTTCTTGAGAACTCTTGCCCGTGGCGAGACCTGGGGTTTGCGCCAATGTGGCGACTTACAGTACGGTCACAAATTTCACACTTTGGTGGTGAATTCGAAATTTCTAAATTTTTTCTATACCATCAATGGATTTATTTCCCTTTAAGTGTAAAAAAAACATTTTGGACAAAAAGTCTAAGAAAGCCAAATTAGATTGTCGCTCATTTCAGCTATTTTGGAGGGACGAACATGGATCTGTTCAACAAAAATACGATGATGTCGTGAGAAGGTCATTTATCATACATTAAGTGTCCAACAGCATCTCCGAACCACAACAAACACTTCAGGGATGAGGCCCCCAAGGCCAAGTCTATTAAACAGGCCACAGCGAGGTACAGAAGACAAAGAAGCGTCTTTCCTTACCAATTTCTGTCTCAGTAAAAATCAAGCCACAGAAGCACGTTACAAACTCACACAACGTGTTGTGAAAAATGGAAAGCCGCTAACAGATGGGGAACATATAAAAGAGGCTTTTCTTAGCTGTTGAAGTTTTCTGTGTTTGCCTAACAAAGACACGATCATCTCTAGAATTAGGGACGTTTTGTATCTGCAAGATTGGTGGAGAAACATTTGTGAAATGGCTGAAAACATTCAACAACAGACACTGGCGTTAAAAGATGTAAAAGTATTTAGTGTTGTGCTTGTCGAGTGCGTGGATATCAAAGACTTACCACGATAAGCAAGACTTGCAGGACACTTGACTCAGATGGAATTGGAGAAGAGCTGTGCTGCCTAAAACTCAGGCATGGCACAATTATAGGGGAAGACACAGCTAAGAGGTTTATTCATCATTTTGAGGAAAGAGGAACTGATATCAAGAAAATACAGTGTGTACATACATGTGTCGACTGAAGGTGCCCCAGCTAGGGATACAAACAAGAAGGGATTCATAAAGATGACTGCTGATCACATTGGCCACCCCATGGTAAATCTTCATTAAACTATTCAGTTAAGACTGTGAATTATGTGCTTTAACAATGTGATGACTGCAGTGGTGAAAACAGTGGATTTGCTAGTTGCTTGATCTGCCCCGATGCACTGGCAGTTTGAAACTCTCCTTCAGGAGGTGGACAGTGTTCATGAGGACATTGTAATTCACAGCAATGTTCGTTGGCTAAGCCAGCGAGGGAAAGCTTTGGCATGCTTCACGGACCTGATGCAATCAGGATCTTTTTTGTCAGAAAAAGGTCAAAACTACCCTGAACTGCCTGATGAAAAACGGGTTGCACAATTAATGTTTCTAGCCAACATCACCACGCATATGAATGAACTCAATCTCCGTCTGCAGGGTGCAAATCGAACTGTAATGCGTCTTACCGAAACGTGAAAAGCATTTCTTAAGGCACTGACACCTCACCTTTCCACTCCTTCTAACATCTTAAAGAACTTTCAAAACACTGCACGGTCCATGTTGCCGAGTTTGGAGTGTACATGCTACATATAGCAACAGAATTTTCCTTCAGATTTCAGGCTTTCCAGAGTTTTGGCCAGTTGCTATCTTTTTTGCCAGTTGCTATTAAACCAGACAGCTCTGAGAGCAGTGCCATGGATTTTTCAGTGTCTCTGTGGAAGAGCATTGTGGATTTTGAAACACAGCTCACTGAACTACACTTCTCAGACTCATGGAGCTCGAAGTTCTGGGATCTGCAAAACACACGACTGAAAGAGCAAATAGATAAGACTCTATTGATCCCGAAGGGATCACAGCACCTCTATCATGGCTTGTTGGAAATCCCTGCTGGTGAAATATGACTGCTCTCAGCACGTGCAACAACATACCTCTGTGAACAGGTATTTTCACACATGAAGTCAGTGCTATTTTCACAGGCTTGTGTACTGCTAAAAAAGCATGGCAACAAGTCTGAGGTTAGAGAACTCAGGAAGGGCAAGAATCACACTAAATGATAAGAGGTGCAGATTAATATTAATTTTAGATACTATTATATTTTAATATTAAATGCTTATTAATCACAATATACATATGGCTATTATTGGCATTAAGAAAGTATAAATGACATGCAAATCCATGAAAAGGCATGCCCCTTCGGAAAGGTTGCTGAGCCCTAGGCTACAGTATAGTCTTGGAGAGGGGCAATTATTAATTAAGTTGCCTTCTGCTTTTATACAGGGCAATTTAAATGCGTCTAATTATTGTGCTGGTCATTTTACATGAGCAATTTAAGTGAAATACTTTCGCAGGGGTAGAACACCTGAGAATTGAACCCACTATCTTCCAGCTCCAAAGCCACAACGCTGATGCCCTAGAGTGCGACTTGTCCCACAGTTATATACTGCCTACATTTTATTTAAAAATAACTCTGGAATTGTTTATAAAGTGATTTTTTTTTCTCTGCGTACCAAGTACAAAACACAACCAATTGCCCCTACGTGTCCCAAGCTCTTATCAATGACACCTTCAACCTCATTAATGCTTATCCTTTACTTGTATTGTAAATTGCACTGGATAAGGATGTCGACTAAGCAAATAACATTAATCCAGCACCTAGCACCTTTTGTTCAAGCAAAACAGCACCTAGCTTTAGTTCTGTTCCTGTTTTAATGAGCCACGAAGGGATCGCATTTTACTGTGAACTATAGTCGTAAGAAGAAGAATCATTACAAACGAGAGGAGGCTGTTCACCACCCAGTTAGGCCATTGGGTAGTTAATTGATCAGAGGGGCTCCTCCAGCTGTTTCAAGGTATAAAAAAAGAGAGGGAAGACTGAGCTGGACCCTAAAACCGATGCACTAAAATAAGCGAGGAAAAATGAAATCCCTTTGACCTTTCAGCATTCCTTTACAGCGAACCAGATGTCCTGATGGTTTTAGTTTGAGCTGGGCTATAGAGAAGCTCCTACGTTCTACAGGCAGAGACCCTGAAGCCCCAAGTATCACGTCTCCTCGAATTATCATACTACCATGTTCTCGTCCCAGGGATATTAAAAACTGTATTAAAAAAAAGTGTTTTGCGCCACTTGTCAAACACCTGAGTGGCACAAATCCTCCTGCTTACGCCATTCCACTCTAGACTATAATTAACAGCAACAGAAACCAAAATACTAATTAATACACCTCTCTAGAGTCAAATACAGAGCAGCCTTTACCTACAAGATACACTGTGAATGAAGAAAGAATTGCTTGTGATTTAGCGACCATGTAAATTAATGATTAATACGATTTTATTAAAATATGACCGCCCGCAGAGTTGACATAGTTTGCATAGACAATGGAGCCGATATGACCTATTGCTCTACACACATCTACTGGGATTTTACCAATCGGTTTTAATATTGTAACGCATACGGCCGACATTACAGGTTGTGCTAGCTGGCTTGCCCAGCGTGGTGACGTCACTGCCCTTCCCAGTGGACAGCAGGGACCGCAGCTGCTGGGATGAGGAGAGCTCAGCCGGCTGTTTCCCTGTTGAGTAACGCCGGAGGCCCGGGTTCGAGCCCCCAGCGGTGGGGGGCCGACCTGAGGCGGCAGCGGCGAGGGTGCATACCCACGTGAACCAGAGAGCGCTACAATATTATTTTATGATGTTAAGTAACTGTTCAATAACTAAAGAAATCATGTATGTTTTTCCGCTATCCAACAGCACTCTTTAAAAAGTCTTAGCGTTACATCACCAAGGATCTTACTACAGGGCAAAAGACGTTTTAGTAAGTTACCAGGATGTTGGAATGAGAGCAGCTGGGCAGGTTGTTGTCCAGGCCTGGCCACTGGGAAGCTGTCTGCCTGCACTGTGTCATCAGAGGCAACCTGCGAAGACAAGTGAACTTTCAGCATCACACTTTTAAAAGGGGGAAAAAAAAACACAGAAAAGACATTCACAACATTAAAAGCTCATTTTAAAAATACACATTTCCTAAAAACATATTTAACAAAACCTCCACCAGGCGATTAAGTTCCAGATAGTCCGGTTTGACCATGAAGAGTAATATCTTGTACTTGCTTTAAACTCACTACAATTGTACAACTCCTTGGCTATTACTAATAATATGTATGCATTGTACTCGGGTACATATGCTGTCAGTTGCATTGCACCCAGGTGCATATGGAAAGAGACTTGAAACTAATAATAACTCCCATTATCAGTTTTTACTTAGAATTAACCCTCTAATGCTCTTATTCGTGTGTGTAGGAATTAGCTCAGCTGTGCTCTCATTAAACGAGAGACGCCTTGCTAATTCATCATACCACAGTTCTGCCACGAGATCCATCACTTCATGCGTGCACAGCCACAGTTATTCTTTCTGATGCCATAAAACTAGGCTATGACAAGTCAATTGATTACTAAGCCTTATCTTTATTCTTCACGTCGTCTTCATAATCCACTGAACGCACATAAACTAGGAAATCAATTCCGGGTCAACACAGTGTTTAAAGCGCACCACGCCCTTTCAGATCAATGCACTATCTAAGCAGAGCATTAGAACAGCGAACCTGATAACCTTTAGACGTCTAATATATTGAGTCACTTGTGGTTGGAAGCGGTGATAGAACGTTTCAGTTAAAAATAATAATGTATTAAGGTCATAAAACGCCACTTCAAGACAGATGTGTAAAAAAACGGAATGCGGCGAATCCGCGTCTTTTTGCGACGGTTTTACATTTCTAATTCTCAGCGCTGCAAAACGCATTCGACACAGCTCAATTCGCCCTGCATCAAAAATAAACCATGAAAATAACAAAAACAGTCTTTTTCAGTCTAGAAGAATGAATGGAAATACCGCGTTTTGGCGTTGCTCAAGGGTAACTTGCAAACGCCCGGGCCCGTGTCTGGTGGGGCAGCTTCCAGACTCGCATTTAGGGGGATCTCGCCCAGCCACGTGATCCGATGCTCCGGGCGTGCGAGAACAAAATGGCGGCCCCGATTTCCGGCAGGAAGACTGTGCTGCGCCTTATCTACCTACCTTGCGCCAAAATGAGAGGATAGAACGATCTGGTGTTTTAATTAAACTGCTTAGCAAAAACACTTAGGAAATTGCAGGAAGAATTAATACTCAGAATATACCAAATCATTATGTCCTTTCAGAAATTATGCATTAGCGTGTCTCAGACAATCATATAATCCATGTCTAAAGGCTACTGTAGAGGTGTTTTAAAAAGGTAGCTACTTATCTTCAGGAATTATTGAATATGTTACTCCGAAAATAATTATATTTTGGAAACTACTAAAAGAGTCCTTGAAGGCATAAATATTTCAAATTGTGGTTATCAACACAAAAAAAATAAACGGCTCAGTTAGCACAGAAGGAGATGCTGGTCAGCGTGAGTGCTCTTGTGGTGACTCCACTGTGCTCTAGCCAGTCTTACACCCAAGTCACGAGCTGGGAAAAACGCTCGGGGCAGAGGCAGGTCTTCTTAACAACAAACATCAAATTTCTTGTGACACCACCACTGGGATTTTGTTTGAATGAATGCACTGCGTATAAAACGGAGAAAAGGAGGCACATCTTTACCTAGAGGGTGGTAGGAGCATAGAACAAGCTACCGAGCCACGTCTTTGAACCTATTACCCAGGTTTCTTTAAAAAAAACACTTGATGTGATCCTTGAAGCTATTTGCGAGTAACCATCAAATGAGCTAGGTGGGTCAATTGGTCTCCTCTCCTTTATAACCATTATGAAATGTAATTTTGAAATAAATTCAGATACAAGATCTCTGCTGCATTCTACTAGTGACTGTCATATTACTTTTTTAAAAAAGTTTTATTCTTACTTGGAAAACATTATCATAGTCACACGCCTCAGCCAACTTAAAAATTTTTAAGGTTACACTACTTTAACAGACTGTATTCATCGTAGTTTAATCACATGCTGACATCTTTATGATATTGCTGTGCTGAATATGGTCTACATGAATACTCAAATTTGTTTAATAGTGCTATACATTATGAGGAAGGGCACCTAAGGCACCGTTTTTGGAAATGCAGTTATCATAGGATTACTTATGGAGAGGGATTAGCTGCACTGAACAGAGAAAAGAAAAACCTCAAGGGGTCAACATACTATATGGAAACAAGCAAACTAGTTTTAAATATTAAATATCATGAACAATAATGCTCTCTGTCACCTACATCTGCTTTAGTAACAGCATTAAGAAATCATTTTTTACACAGACACCTCAGGTTATGTCTCATTCACAGTTAAATTATGTGGTTAATGTATTTAAATCCAGCACTAGGAGCAAAATCTTAGAAGAATGATCTGGTTTATCCCACTGTAAATTATAGTGAAAAAGATGGCATGTTTTTAATGACACTAATTTACCAAGTTGTGGATGGAACAGCTTTCTCAGTTAACGCAGAACCTCAAATATCCCTCAGAAAAGTTTGGATTTATTTTGGAAGTTAAGATGGGAGAGGAAATTCGTTTTGGGGAAAAAAAAGGCTTTGAAAATTCAGAAGAGCTTCCACAAAAAGTGCAAAATTCCCAAAACCATTCATTATGCAGATCATCTTGTATTGTTAATGCATAAAGACTATTATTATTGCTGAAAATGAGGACCTTCCTAAAATTTCTACTTTAAAATTGCCAGCATCTTGGGGCTGAGGCACATGTATTAGGACAGAAAACAAGAGAAACAGGTGACAAAAGGTCACTTGTGATTTTTTTCCAGCCTTCTGTGGCTTTTTCCCCCAAAAGATCCTATTATCCACCCAAAGCTTGCTTGAGCTATACCATGGTACAACCTCAATAAAAGACTAAATATTCTGATGGTAAGCAGGCCCCTCTTTCTGAAGGCTGTTACAATGTGTGCCAACCAAAAGGGCCCATATGCTAAGCCCTTTTCCAGTGCTCACCACCTGCTGGGTCCTTTCTCTGCTCTTTGCTTTCTGCATAGCTGACCCGACAGATACATTAGATTAAAAAAAAGATTCAGATCTTGAAAGAAAAACGCAGGTATTCTGCCTGCCATTAATCCACTGTCTGAAAGCCTACTGCTGTAAAATACAGCTAGCACCTGGACTTGCATTGTCTAGCAGAGCAACAGGAGGTCAGTCTTTTTTTTCTTTCTTTCTGGGTGACAAATGGCTGATTCAATCCCTCAAGAAGTGGGCACTCGCTGGCATTCTCTGGGGCTCGATCCGCTAATGAATAATCAGTGCCACTTTTTTTTTTTTATATACCCTGGACGGTTTACACCAGAGGCCAAGGGCAAACAGGAGAAACAAACTCCAGACATGAAGGAAAGTAAAAAAAAAAGTTTCCTCTTGCAT